TCTCTATGTTACTACATACTTACAAGCATCTAATTCTACGGAGTTCAAACCCAGGACCAACGATACGGTACTATCATCGCTAACCACTATAACGGCAAGCAGCTCAAATATAACAAGTCCACTCTTTCTTAAAGTGGAAAGATTTTCTGTAGATCGGCCTTCCTGAAGGAATTTGTTGAATTATAACTCTAATTAGTGTAGTAAAAGCAACGTTTTAACAAATGTTGTAGAAAAACTAGACTTTTCAGACTACACGAGGAACACGCTGAAATACAAGAATTAACTCTGTGGCCTTTGAAAATGTCATTATAACTAGATTTGTTTTCAATAAAACTCTAGTTCAATATTTTTCTTGTTCTTTGTTAAATAATATGCGAAAATAGCTTGTGAAAAAACAGTTTCATTCCTTCGGCCGTAGTCTTGCGACGTAAGTGGTCATTTATAGATCTTTCACATACAAGCACATCTTGCTTGTAAATAGATCTTTGGTTCGGATAACTTGGTTCAGAAAATTTGCTACCACCTGCATTTGGTCGACTGAAAGGTCTACCTCTACCTAATCGCTAGCGTTAGTGTGTTTAGCACATGCAAATAGCAACCGAGAGGTTTGTGGTTCCAGTCTTTGCGAATTTGCAGTTCATTTTTGATGTTTTCTCGGATAAAAAAGTTTACTAACCTTTACAACAGAGTCCAAACTAAAAAATTAGGAATCTGGGTGGATTGAGTTTAGTTCCTTTTTCCTTTTAACTGCTACAGAATTTAATGGAAATGCGTCTCTTGTTATGCTGTTAGTTTAGAAGTCCAATTAACAACTGAAAGACAGGCGGTCCAAATACCGACCGAAACACGATTGGATATGCATGTTTTCTTGCTTTGATAAACGCTTTTTTACTTGTTCTGTAATTTAAAGCAAATTATCATAATCCTATGCGAGATCTTTCTTGACGCACAGAAAAACATACCAGTTTTTTATTCATCTATATCACTACAGTCCAACAAGAAATATTGATATTTGTCCGACAAGCAACGCAACAAGAGAGTTCTTAAAGGCAGTCATTATAACCTTAGGTGGGAAAATCTCCTTTCGTACAAGTATTTATGCATAAATAATTCCTCGTTTTGTTTCTTTTTTATTAAAATGCAGTGTTTTAGTACAAATATCAAGTTATAGTTCTGAAAGCTCTCAAGCTTACTATACTTCAATTAGTAGGTGATATATCTACGTACACCTTTAAATCGGAGTCATTTCACATATAGTTTTTTGTTAGTCCTTGATTTTCTTTTAATTACTCTAATTTTAACCGAAAGCGGAATTGGTACACTGTAGACTCAAAGCATTAAACTGAAATTCTCAGCATTCAGCTGAAGCTCCAAGTGCTTAAAAACATTGACCATAAAGAGCTTGTGAACTGAAAAGGTAAAGAAATGAATATCAGTTCACTTCATTTTTAAATCTGAAGTGCGTAGAATTGGCGAAGAAACACTAAAATCTCATCTAAAGATTTAGCAAACAAATGGGATCAGGAAATGTGCAGTTTAAAGAATTTAATATTGTGAATTAAGAAGGCAAAACATGAATTTTATTATGATGCATTTTGGGCATGTTTTGAAGAAATTCAGATTGAACTGCAAAATAAGAAAGGAAGAGGGGAAAAGAGTCCACATTACGCTAGGCGAACTATGTTCATTGTTCACTTAAAGTTAGGTTACTTGAATTCGTAAAAGCATATTAAGAATATTTTCGTGAAGGACTTCCTTAGGAAAAGCTGCGGTCTTCACTTTGCATATAGGGTAAATCATAAAACTTACTCATACCGCCAGCTCGTTTGCGTAGACTGGAAACCAGATCAAATTACCAATATTGTAGTTGATATTAGGTTTATGCAAAAGAATATTATTTGTTTAAGAAGTAAAATTAAAATCATAAAAATAAATAAACTTACCGATTTAAAGATAATACATATTTACACTAAACGTTTGATAATATGGAAAGTGTTTTTAAAGCCAAATTATCGAATATGCTGAATATTGAACTTGTCAAAGTAACGCTGCAAAATCCAGTTTTGCAAACGTAATTTAGCCTACTGAAATTAATGTATGATCGCAAAATCTTAAACAAAGCTCTACTTAGAACAGCTCTGCACATGCATTTGATAATTAGAATCGTATTTGAAGATATATTACAGAACACGTATAATTTATTTTTCTTCATCAAATAGTATGTTAGAAATATATTGTACTAGTGGTAGATGATCACTTCCTAGAATATCTAATTTCTTGTCGAAATATCATTAAAGAGAATACAAGGATTGATTCCTTTTTAATTTTTTTTTGTTATTACGTCTGTTAGTATCACACAAATGTATCAATTTTTCTTAACCCATTCAAAAATTTTCATCTTCAGTTTGTGTGACTAAATAGTGTGACTCTGAATACTGTGACTCTTTAGATAGCGTAATTCCGAAAAAACATTTTGGACTGAGGTAGGTAATTAAGAGTGTTTGACAATAAGACTAGTAATACACTCGCTTTCAACAGAATTTTACAGCATTATATTGAGTCATAGTAATGATGCTTCCAAAGTGAAAGCTGAACTAACGCTTCAGAATAATTCCAAATAACACGCTCATAGTATCGTTCTGTTTTTAAATATTTTCTGATTTTGCTTGTGAATCGAATTTTATGTGGCGCAAGCGCCAAGAAAGTGATATTTAATAAAAAGGTAAATACAAAGCCATTACTAATAGAAAGAAAAATAGTTCTGTAAATGCATCTTAGTAAGAAAACTGAACGTTGCTATGATCAACTGAGAAAAGACTGAAAAAAAAAAAAAAAAAAAAAACAGAAAAATGTATGCCAACGCACACTGCATTGGGAATTTTAAACGTATACTGACTGCTATGCTGCTTTTATATTTTTGCAATTTTGCTGTTGAGCTGTATATGACGTAAACGTGAAGAAAATTATGCTTAATAATAAAGTTAAAAATACAAAAAAATGGTTAGTAGGAGGGAGTGTAACAACAGACTTCGAGACTGCAAGCCCAGCGGGAGCGTAAAAAACTTTAAGAAACCCTTCTGGGCTACCGTTAAAATCTGAAACTTTTCAGGTTTTTTAATAATGTGATTATTATAAAAATATAAATGAAATTTATTCACTGATTAAAAACAAATTATCATATCTAACGACCTATAAGACGGCAATTCATTTCTAACGGGCTTTTTGGTATGAGGGAAAAAACTTAAAATCAGTGTCTCATAAAATTCATATGTTGAAAGTACAACCAAGATAATTAAATTGCCAAAATCCACCACTTTGAATAAATAACTATATTTTCTGTTGTTGAGTAAATCAATTAAATAAACATGTTTCCATTTAATATAAGAATTAAGAGCAAAGTTAAATAGTTTGCCTATATTTTTAACTATTAGGCTACTTTAGAAAAGAGAATAAGGCACAAAGTATTTTAACGAGACTAATTTCACCTTATATTCCAGCGTTTAAGAAAAAAAGGAGTTTCTTGAACGCTAAAAGCAGCATGTGTTTAGAATTCCCGATGAAGTGTTAAGTGTTAGCATACATGTTTCTATTTTTTTGCAGACTTTTCTCAATTTATCATATCAATGTACAATGTTCTTAGTAAGAGGACTTCCAAAACTTTATTTTTTATTTTTATCATTAAGGTTTTGTGTTTGATTATTTTAAACTAAATATCATGTTCTTCACACTTACGCCACATAAGGCTCAGTTGAACAGAAAAATTACAAAATATTTAAAAACAGCATACCTTCAGAATTTTCGATGCACAGTCTCGCGCGCTGGAGTTAATAATCTTTTAATCCGTACACCATTGCTCGTTTTCAAATCATTTAGTCTGTTGAAAATTCATTAAAGCTTTATAAAATATGAAATAGAATATTCAAAATTCGGGTTTACAGGTGCTCATGCTCGGGTGGATTTTACTCAAAATTTGATGGCCCTAGGCATCGTCACGTTTTCACAGTGCGAAAAACATGCATACATTAATGCAGATTCTTCATTATTTAATTCCTTTAAAGGTAATACAGGGCGATAATACATTTTTTACAACAATCTGTACTTCCTAAATTTCAGTACAGTTTTTTTTTTTTTTTTTTTTTTTTTTTTTTTTTGTATACACTGGGTATTAATTTCCAGTTTCAAAACATTATATAGCTTTTCAAATTATTTTACTTCCTCCGTTTTTTCTATTATTTCGAATCAGTTCGCATTATCGGAAAATCATAGAAATAAACAGTATATTGAATTGTTTTTCAAGTAGATATATACATGTATATTGTAAGTATTCACTAAATAAGATAGTTCACTAATAGATCTATAAACTTCGACATTCACATTGAATTTCGCATTTTATTACTTAAGGCACAAGCGAATTATGTAAAATTCAATTTTGGTTTTTTTTAATGTAATATATATATTTATATTAAATATATATATTAAACTAATATATCTATATATAGAGAGAGAGAGAGAGATTAATTAGATAATGTATATGTATATATATATATAGATAATGTATATATATATATATCTATATATATCTAATAATTTTATTTTAATACATATATATACATATAATCTTATCTAGTTTTGATGTATATACATTGTGTATTTAATGCATATACATAGATATTATATATATGTGTGTGTGTATGTCTGTGTGTGTGCGAGCTCGTGTTATATATGAACATTTTGATTTCATAATATAAAGAGAGGGATGAAGAAACTCTTGTGTTTGAATCTATATGTATTTAACTGTTTTTTAGCTTTGATTACTAGAAATTTCAAACATATACCTGATACACGTATTTGAAAAGATTCAGTAAATAACATTGAAACATAATAAAAAGTAAGCAAATATTTCAAACTTTCCTTCAAAAAATCAATAGTAAAAAGAAAAATAAATCGAAATTTTCTTCAGGGAATTATTCTTCATTTTAAAACTTTACCAGTATTTTCTAAAATTTATTACAAAAATTTTTCATACCACACTTTTTTTTTAAATACATGAACTAGGCAGTGTTGATTATACTATTAGAATACCCCAAATGTATATTTAGCTTCAGAATACAGTAAGTTATATTACAGCAAATTATTATTTAGCAATTACATTACAGCAAAAAAAGAATTACAACCGTTTATCTAAAAAATCATTGAGCGTATAAAACATTAGATGAATCAAAATTAAGCACTATGAGAATGTTAACATCTTCGTGCAGTACAATGCGTTATAGGAAAACACAATAAAATAATGCGTTATTTTTTAAATATAACAAGAATGCGTTACATTTCTTAATATCATCATTATTTACAATAATAAAATATATAATTTATTACTTAAAATAAAGATAATTACATATACTATGTTTTATGGGTAAGCAACGTTTGTATTTTTTCGAACGAAAAAGTATTAGAGTAATAAAACTTTAATAATTTGGAACTGAATATGTTTGAACAAATTTATAATATGCAAAAAACAGGTTTTAAATAAATTAGGTACCTGTATTAGTCTGGATGAAAATGAATCTAATAAATTAGGATCTCAAATAAGTATGGGACACATTAACGAACAACATTAATTTTATTAAGCACACCTCTCACGATATTCATAAATGGAAACAATACGACACCTTCAGAATTCCAAATCAATCTACGAAGATAGATATGTTACGTCAGAAAACGGGCATAAAATCTCACGAAAAATATTTTACATACCTGTACACAGGTAATTCCTTCTTGCTTAAATTTCTTTATGATTAGAGTAAAATGCATCACAAAACATGTTCCTTAACAATAAACAACAGACATATTTTCCTTTAACTTGAAATATATACAATTTGCAGTTTTTTAAAGTTTAAAACTTGCATTAGTATAAAAAGAATATAATTTATGAACTTTTAGGTTGGGGCACATATAGAAAATTTGTTAAAAGTTTAAAAAGTAATCGAAACAAAATCAGCATGGTGTCATGCCGTTGATTCTGACTTTCCTGGTGGTCATCTGAAACGTCAGGCGGTTGATGTCTGTTCGAGAATGCTGAGGCTGTTCACTGTCCACAGTAGCCTGGAATCCACAGCGTGTCCTCCAAATAAGGGTCATTGCATTTTTTATTTCAGGCATACGCACCACATAGATAATAGGATCGACAAAGGACTTGATAACGATCATTGTATTGGTGAAGATCCCAACAGGAACACGTACCCACAAAGGTATTTCTGTGAAAGGAACAGAGCAATCTAGACATGTAAGGACGAAGAACAGCACCGCAGGCATCCAGCCCAAAACATATGTTCCCAGAATGAGAAGAGTGGTGATGATCGCTTTGACATTCTTATGCAGCTGTCTGCTGGAAGGGGACTGTTGTAATCCTCTCTGGTGCTGACGCACCAGCACAAACATGTGCGTATACATGCCCGACATCAGGATCAAAGGTACGAAAAATAGCACCGACGTTGTCGCTCGGAAAGGAACGTGGAGGAGAAAGTCTACGCTTAAGCAATATTTAGACTGAAATCCGTCATTTGGAACCAAGGAAAAGTAAGACAGGAAGAACACTACGGGAAGCAACCACATGCCAATAATGGCCATCATGGCAGACCGACGTGTAACTGTTGCAGCATAATGGAGAGGTCTTAGAATCCCTATGTAGTGATTCACAGCTAATGCTAATAGATGGAGAACTATAATTACCATCCCGCCTAGCCTGAAAGCTTCCAGTACTAATATGTAACAATGGTTGAAATTTCCCAAAGTCAGTCCGTAAACTGTTGGCAGTAAGCTATTAATGACAAGACCGATTCCAATGACCAAAGAAGCGTAAGCGTCTGCAACAGCAAGGGACAGGCTGAGATAAAGTGTCGGTGAGAGACGTCTAACCCAGCGCACGCTGATGACAATCACCAAGTTAAAGATCATGGACAGGAAACAAGCAGTCAGCATCACTGGCACCACTGTCCGGTATAGATTTTTAAGATTTTCTTCTTCCTCAGTAAGTACTCTCACTAGAGGTATCTCAGTTGTTGTGTCATTCCTGTCCAGATTTACAGAATCTTCGTCGATAGTTTTAATATTGAGCTGTAAAGATGTACTATTGAGCAGAAGTTCATTACAGGGCCAATAAGAGCTACCGGCCCTCGAGCAGTCAAACCAGTGGCCGCGAGGAGGAGCCTGCGGGTAATCGCGCAAGGCTAGCCGCGAGGCCGCATGACGAATATGGCGCTCGAACAAGAGCAGCGCGGCTGGCGGTGATTCCCGCATTCCAAGTTTCTCCTGTTTCCTCGCGTTGACTGAGAGTGACTAACTCCGCCAGAATATTTCTGACACAGAGAGTTTTCTCGCTGCTGCTGCCCCCTGCGTGCGCATATTTCGAGTTGCACTCGAATCATATCTGACATATGTCACCGAAAACATGAATGACAATATACAGGTCATTTGGTATTCTAATCAATAATACCATTTAAAGTTCCAAGAACTTTTCCCCTTGAAATATAAGTAAAGGTTAATTACATGCTAATAAAAAGCGTGAATGTGGTTAGCAGGAAAGCTACAAAATAAAAACGGATTACTTGATATTGAATAAAAATAGGAAATTCCGGTATGTAGCTATAAAGTGAGAATGGCGTAAAAGATTCATGATAAAGTTGCTTTAATATTATAAAGATACTGTTTGGAACTTTTGAAAGACAGAGAAACATGGACACATAGAGAAAATTCTTTAAAAAAGTTCAAGAAAATAATATACAAATTTAATATTCAATATAAAATGCTATGTAAATAAAGTTAAATGAAAGTAGTAAATACTTATCTTGCTTATGAAAAATAGATACATTTTAAATCAGGTTTTATAATAATTTTTCCCTGGTCAAAAAGATGAGTTATACCGAGGATCGCGAAATGAAATCACTGTTAATTAAATAGGAAATAACATCACTAACATAACCTATTTAAAAAAATCTTTGAATATTAAATCTCTTTTATTTCAATTTATCAAAAAAAAAAAGAGCTTTAACTTTTAAACGGCGCCAATTCTAAAATAACTCATTCGACTTAGGCTGTTAACTTCTGCAAGATTTTTTTAATATGCATACTTTCATATGAAATATAAATTAATTAGTTGATTTTCTTGGCCATTTTTGACGATAATTTTTATTAATATATTAAATGTTTTTTAATGTAGAGAACATTATAGAAAAGAAATAATTTCAAATTAAGGATTCTTAGAAAAAATTCAAATTTTAAATTTCTGAGAAGAAAAAAATAATAGTTTTTGAAATTGCCAATTTTTGCATGATAAAAATAGTTATTACTTACTACTAACATCAAGTTCCTTAATATATTTATAACAGTTTAAATGATGTTTTGTTTCTCTAATAAGAAAAATAAATAAAAGTTGCAGCATTTAAATAAAAAGAATAACATTTGGAAAACTGCTTCTTAAAAATGAAGTTATTTTTATTAAAAAATGCTCCATATATTTTAATGGTTTTTGTCACAGGTCCTTATTGCTCAATGTACTTACGTTACCCGCAAGAATAAAACTATTGAACACTAGTTGTTATTCCCGGGATAGATTTCCGGCGAAAGGTTTGGCTACATGAGCTGCATAGTTCTTCCTTTCCATATGTAATACGGTTAAAAGCTATTTTTTATTAGTAAAGAAAGCAAATAACAACATTTAGTCATAACCGTACTTAGACGGAACGTACTTAGCCAAACCATATTTAGACGTAAATGCTTAACCAAGTAACAAATTTCTTAAGCAACATAAATATCGTATAATTAAGTATAAACCTTTCCTAATTTAAATTTTAAATATCTTTTTTCGTTTCATGTAGTATTAAAGAGACTTGTTTTCAGTCTTGGTAACTCTGTCGCCGTTTTCTTTTTTTCTTCATCGTTAGTCTCTGCTTTCATTGCGTTTATTGATTCTTCATTTCTAAATGTCTTGATTTTCTCTTTTCTCCGTTTCTCTTATTGTGGTATTTTGTTTAACTTTCTATTAAGCAAGGCTTTAATGTTTTTGTTAACGTTTGTTTTACATTTCGTCATTGTTTTTACAGGTTCTTGCTTACACATTGTCGTTCGATTTAGGGAAGGGAGTGCTGTTTGTTGACTTTTATTTTTATTACATTTTTCTCTATATTTTTGTCAGTTTGCTATTATTTGGCATTTAAAAAACTTTCTCAGTATTTTATCTTAACAGTTTCTTTCGAGTATTCTATTATTCTATTAGTTTTTTTTTTTAATTACTCTGAGTTTTGATTTCTTTTTACTTCCTATTTCTATCTTAGCTTGTACCCTTCAATCTTCTATATACATTTTAAAAGTTTCTTACTTTATCATTTCTATTTGGTTTAGTTTTGCTCATACAGTGGTGTTCGGAGACACTTTTCGGAGCCATTGCATTTCTAGAAATTTGTAGAAAAAGCGGTGTAGCCCGGAATTAAATCCGAATATAATGCCCAATATTTTTTCATATCATTTCTATGCAATTTTGAATAAAATCAAAATTTTATTTTTTTAATACTGACTTATTTTCCATTTTTAAAATTTTAAACGTAAAGAATCATAGATATACGCCACAAAAACAGTCGAACACAGAAACATTTTCTTAAAATTTCATAAACAAAATTATAGTCTGACACTTTTATTTTTGCATTTTGATGACGTTTCGAAATTCGTTTGGCTTTATTCTTTCCTTGCTTACTTCGTGGTAGTTGAATTACTATTTAAACATTAATCGCAGTCGTAAGGAAACCGAATTATTACTCGAATATATCACTCGAAAATTGATAACTTGTTATCAGAAGGGCGGAAAATAGATCCGAGATATCGCTAAATTTGTAAAACTAGTAAATTAGTAACTCATTCTAAGTTGTTGTATGTGATAAAACTCTTTAACCAAGAAAATCGGATCGAAAATGAAGTAAGACATCGTCCGGCCGTAGAGACATTAGGTTATTTGAAAACAGGAGATGTGAAAAATGAGCAATGCTCTCGCAGGGACTCGAACCACGGAACTATCGAAAATGCGTCGAGCTTGCTGACCACCACACCATAAAAGCATGCTAAGAAGGCGGGAGAAATACCTTATACGGCAAAGTTAATGCATCATCAGAGATTTACAGTGAGAAAATATACGAAAAATCCACGTTTGAGTGCTGTAAAAATTTCTACAGAATTTACTGAAAGTTTTCTAATTCAATTTCACTTGAAACTATTCGACGAGCATTCAGGTCGGGCACTCTGCTCGAAAAAAAATGTTTTTGTTACAGCAAAAAATAGAAAGCTTAATCTTTCTTTCTCAAAATCAATGACAAATAATCCGGAAGCTTAATGGAACCATGTCTTATTTACAGATGAAAGCAAATTTAACATTTTTGGTACCAATGGGCATATAATTTTATGGAGAAGAAAACATGAGGAAGAACTTGCTTAGTACAGTAAAGCATGGCGGTTGAGGTGTCCTTGTACAGGGGGGCATGTCAGCATCAGGATTAGGTAATGTAGTATTTATTGATGGCCATAATGAAGCATGCCCTTTCTTCCAAAATTTGGGTATTGGAAACAACATTTTTTTTTTTATCAAGATAACGATCCTAAGCACATGACCCTCAATGTTTGCCTTTAGCGTGTCTATAATTATCCATAAGTTCTAAAAACACCACCTCAGTCACTAGATTAAAAGCCGATAGAACGCATGTGGAGACAATTACAGGTTAGAGCACGAAGCCCCAATATTAAAACGTAAACCGAACTAAAAACCGGAATGGTGGAATAATGGGGGAACATTGGTGCGCATAATTACCAAAAAGCAAAGAAGAATTAAAAAACGGTAAAATTTATGCCCGGACGTTTGAAAGCTCTCGTAACTGCTATAGAATATCCTACAATATGTTAACTAACAGAAATACTACATGATTTAATAATATGTGCATATTTCTTTAAAGTTTTCGAAGACTTTTGTGGGGTAACTTTTCTGCTACTTTTTGATTACTGATTTTTCCAAAAAACATTTTACTATGTTTATAAAATAACGTATGTATTTTTGTTAAAAGAAATGTATACATATTATAAAAAATTCTTATATTAAAATATTAATTTTAATTAATGAAAAAAGCAATATTTCACTGAAGCTGGTAAGTGTACGAACACTTTTCTGAGCCTCTGTAGCAGTGTTAGCAGAAGATAATCTTTCATTAATTTTCTGTTGAATTTTCGAAATGGTTTAACCATGTCCAGTATCCGGTTTAGTGGGAATGATAGATTATTATTTTTCCTTTCATCGAGGTCAAGCGCAATCTTACATTTTTCACATGCTATCTGCAAAATTATTAAAAAGGTTCAAACAATTTCATTTCTATAAAGTTATCAAAACATATTTTCAGAATGCTTCTGTCCTTTAAGTAAAGTAATCTACCTTTTCCCCCTCGAAATATGTAACGTTTTACAAAACCAGTGACGATTCGATCATGAATTTCGCTCAATATTTTACTCGCTTCGTTTCCATATGCACAACAAATATGTTTTGTAAGTCTTTGATTAATTCCAATTACAGTTTTCATTAGACTCATTATGAAATTTACAGCTTTATTATTGTTTAACATTCTTCTTTTCTTTAATTATTCAAATTATTTGAATATAAATTATTCACAAACGTATCGTGTATTATGTTTAAGGAATGTAATTCGTTTCTTAACTTTCGGTTAGGGTCTTATCTTTCGTTCAATGCATATTTTCATATTTCCAATTGTAAAGAATTATGAATTATTATTCTTTAATTTCTGATTAATCAATATTTTTTCTTCAAATTAATTTTCTTTTTAATCCTAAGGACGTTTCACCCCAATTTTCCAAATGATCCATTTCATTTTTTTCTTAATTATTTTACTAATTTTTAATTAAATTTTTAACATACATTTTTTCCTCGGTTGTTACTTCAGAAAATGAAACATTGAGAATAATAAAATCAGATTACTTTAACAAACAAAAATATTCATATACATCTTCCGGACCTAATATTTAATGATAAAACTCAACACGTGTCTTTGCACATTTATTTTTGTAGCAGATCTGAATTTAGTACTTTATTTTATATTAATTTTTTTCTCTATCCAGATTCTATAAGTTCCGCGTAATCTAGTCTCTTTATTTAACGAAAAGACCTTATTTAAAAGATTTCTTAAGTAATTTCTATTTGAAATTAAGATTAAGCAAAATGTGTAACAAGAAATGTTTGCTCTGTGTAACTACTATACAATT